ATTTATTAATCTTTTAATTATATATTGCAGGAATTACTGGACTTGGGTGAGGCAGTTGGAACTCAAAGCAGGGGCCTTTCAAAGACTTATTGATCTGCTTCCAGTCTCAAAGTACAAGTTCAGAAGCATGTTTAAAAGAAAAAAAAATATGGGAAAGGTAAATTCCTGGTTCTCTCTTCTTCTGAATATTTGACAACTGTGGCGAATGAATATGTGGAATATAGGGGTGAAAGTGATCTTTCCTTCTTCGGGAGGCTGGGGGTTAATGGTGGTGTAGCACAAAAAGTGAATATTTAACTTTCAAATGTTATGCAAATTTCATTTATTAAGAAGTTGGAACGAAAGTGAAGCGAGTATTTTGACATGAACTTTATATTTGTAGGTAACCGTTTGGTTAAAAATTTGAAGTTTGAGAAACTTCACAATAGTCACTTTGCATTTCTCTCAATTTCCTTGACATTTAAACAAGAGAGAAAAAGAATTTTTCCCCTTTATCCTATTTTGTTTCCCCTTCCAAATCCCCCCCCCCCCCCCCCCCAACACTTTCATTTGCTAGGCTTAGTTTAGATTCTTTGCTGCGTTGACTGAGTCAGATACTGCCATCTACGGGGATATATTGACTGTACATTTACTATGGTGTTTTCCATTTCCTTTTTTATCAGGATCCTGGATCAACAGAGCTTCTTGCTTTCTGTGTGACTCTAGGAAGATATACAAAGTCCCCCTCCCTTATTTTTCCTTTTTCTTCCCATTTATGTCTGAGTCTATTATCTCCTTCTCAAGTTCATTATTGGGTAATGGCCAAAACGCATGAAAAGCAGGTGTGTGATTTGTCAGATGACATACAAAAGAGTGTGACCAACAAATGAAATTGCCATGCACGCATGTTTTACCATAGCGACTGCATCTCCAAGTGGCTTAGCATTAACAAGGTCAGTCATATTGATGCATCTATTAAGGTACACTTTTCCCATGGCAGGAAAAATTGTACCTTTTCCAAAGGGACGAATTTTCTGAGGTTCTTTAATTTTTTTTTAAATCAAAATATAGCTAGCGATATTTTTTTTTTTAAATTCTTTCGTCCCAGAAAAAATGCAGTTTTATACTATTCACCTCCCAATGTCATAAATATGTAACACTTGTACTTTTTTTCCCCCTTTTGCCCACCCAAATCCTCTCTTCTCATTATATGCAGTTATAAACTTGTTTGTGATTTCTTTTCAGAAATGCCCAGTTTGCAACGCTGAGTGAGGTGTTTGCGAGGATTCAAGGAATTAGCATTAAGATGCTGTTAACAGAAGAAATTTGGAGGCTTCTCTGCTCTATTACCCCCCTTTTCTTTCCTATCTGATTTTGCCGCCCCCCTTTTTTTTGCATTATTAGAAATCTCACTACACGTAGGTAGGAGCACTAGAAAGAACCCAGCCGCTACATTTTATGTAATAATTATTCTCTTCACTAGAAACATCCCAAACAGTCGCATCTTGTGGTGGTTAATGAAGTTTGAGTGATGTAAACTATGTCTGTTCTTTTATTCCTCAGACTCTCTCCTTGCCCGAGGCTTCTCTTCACATTGATTCAATGTACGTATAACATTTTGAGTTATATGTATGCTTAATATATACTAGTCAAAAGTGAAAGACTAATTGTCCTTCAGTTAAATTACATATGATAGCAGTTTCAAGTTTCAAGAAATTGAGTCCATATAAAACGCATTTTTTTTTTAAAGATAAAAACATGAATTAAATTCAGTATTTTTGTTTTGTTGTTGTAATGATAAAAAAATAATTCAATTTTGCTTTTAGCCTTAAAAATTTATTAAGTAGATAGATTTTAGTTTCTATTAACATGAAGTGATATTGATGGCATAATTGCACATTAGGTTCCTTATTTTTTATTATAATTTAAAAATATTGTCTTTTGAATTAAGGAAAATAATAATAAAATTTTTTGAATTATATAAATGATAATTTAATTTTTTAAAATGTTATATTCTAATAAAGTTCTTGAAAATTTTTGTGTCGGAAAATTTTAAAGTGAACAAATTATTTGACTTTTATTGAAAATAATAAACTTTAATCATAATTTTGTTTTGTAAATTGTAAGAGTTGAACATGAGATCATAATTTGTTAAATGTTATTTTTATTATTGAAAAATAAATTTCAATCATAACTTTTGCTTAAAATAATAATTTTTATTCTGTAAATTATAAGAATTGAATAAAAAATCACAATTTATTAAATATAATTTTTATTATTAAAAAGTAAATATTTAAAATAACAAACTTCTTTGTTAATTTTGCTTAAAGAATCATAGCTTTTATTACACAGCATCCAAGCAATCTGAATAAGAATGTACTCTTGTATATCTCTTGTTTCAGCAGATCGTAAGCCCATGAGTAATAGTAATCAACTCTGCAATTGCTGGTGGAACTGAATTCATTTTGCCACAGTTTCGAGTCTAACCGCTCCATCAAGTTCACGTCCGTTGCTTCTATTATAAGTAAAGTAAACAGGGAGCATTTTTGAATGTGATCTTGGTCCATAAGCTATAAAGAAAAATGACAATGTTGCATTACGATTTTCTACAGGTTGTTCGGAACCAAAAAGCCTGTTGCAACTGGTAACCCAAATATCTCGACACAGATAACCCAATAGAGTACTCCGTTGAATTTTCTTTGTTTAGTTTTGACCAGCATCATTTGTCAGATTCCATTTAACATTAGAAAGTTGTCGATAGTTCTGGTTTGACCATCGTTTTCCACTGATCAGCTACACCCGGACAATCTCTGAGCAGGTGCAATGAAATCTTCAAGTTGATTACACCCCTCTATCCAAGAGGGCAGCAACTTGTTGTGTCAAGCCTTTGTCTGGCTCGAAATTCTGCTGCATGTAGCCTATCATGAGTGAACGGCCACATGAAGGTTTTATGATTTTAGTTAAAACCACACATGGACGCTTTCCCGTAAATGACATAACTCAGGTAATTGTGCTTTTAGTTAAGTTATTTTGTTGGAAAAATGATAATAACGTCCCAAAATTTAGATTTTATAATAGTTAAGTCCAAAATAAAATTTTCTGAAAAATAAATTACAAATATTAATTCCAACAAGAATTCCAAGTGCAAATTAAAAGTTATATTTAAAGTTTAAATGTCTTGTTTATAATTAGAACTCCTTAATTTATGACTATTTGAATTAATATTTCGCAACTTATTTTTAAAAAATTTTGTTGGAAACTTAATTGTGATAAATTTATTAGTTTGAGACTCTAATGTCATTCTCTCTATTTTTGTTCAAAAAAAATCAAATTAGGAGACGTGGATTTTTTTACACATTGCTTAACTTGAGATTAATTCTTGTTATGAACACTTTTAATTTAGTTTTACATTCAACATTCACTTATTTTAATTTAATTTTTAGCTTAGAATTTTCAGTTTTCTTACATATATGTTTTATGTTAAATTTATTTTTTATTTACCTTCAAAATTTATTTCGTTTTTAAATGTTGAATAAGAATAAAATTATATTTTTTATATTATAAATAAAATGTGCTTATAAAAATCTATGTAAGAATTTTTTTTTTGCAGTATATGTGAACTGTTATAGAAATGTAATCATATTCTTAAAGACAAAAATTATTAATTAAATCAAAAAAAATATTTTTTTATTTTATTTAAATAATAAGGAAAACAGAAAAAGCCTAGTCGATAGATTTAATTATTTAATATTTATCTTACCGAACCCACCTTTTCGTTTCTTATGTGTGTGAACTGCGAAGTTTAGTACTTCGAGTTGTGACAATTAAACTTTTTTACATTATTTTCTCTTTTATTTCACAGACACCATAACTGAGAAGAATTCTTGTTCATTATTATTTTTAAAAGAATACTAAAAAAGTCAATAAAACAATATTTTTCATATCATGTTTACTGATGGTGAGCTTGAGATCAAGCTCAACAAAACTTTTTTACATAAAAAATAATTAATTAATTTTATAAATAATAAAAATACAATATAAATTGCAGTTAATATTACGTTTTTTTTTTGACCAGCTAATATTAAGTATTAATAGTGTAACATCTATTATATTTCCTATTTTGTACAAAAATATAATTGCAAATTGCAATCAAATGGAAGCCAGCTATCTGGGTGCAGCACGCCTAAAATAAATCCGTTTGCACCAGAACAAAACTCAGTAAGCTAGTCAATGTGACTACCAAGTGTCTAACGGTCGGAGAATTTAGTAACACCTATTTTCCCAACGTTCACTCCCCGCCTTCCTCGATCCCCATAACGGTTACATTTACACCTTTCTCTCTCCCATTCTGGCACTCCTCAGTCTCTCTCTCTCTCTCTCTCTCTCTCTCTGAACTTCGCTCGCTGCAGCAACCCGCTAGCTGAATTTTTGGGTCTCCTTCATACCCTCCCCCTCTCTCCCCCTCACTCTCACTGTCTTTCTTCCTTGTGTGAGTAATGGAACCTGCGAAGATCGACTGGAAGAGACTGGAGTGGCACTTTGTAGAAGACGAAAAATACGAGCACATTAACGCACCGAAATGGGTCGATTTCTTGGCCCCAGACCAATCCGTGGACGATGAGGACTGGTTTTGCAGACCCGGTTAGAATTTGCGTCTCTCCTATGATTCTTCTACGTTATTTTCTTAGATTTTGCTTTTTCTTCAATGGGTCTTGGTGATATGGTCTTTGCAGATTGTAAGCATCCCAAGACAGTGGACGATTTTCTCAGATCAACTCCTTCAAAGGTTCCATTCTTCTCTACTTCTGTTTTTCATACTCTTGTCTTATGTCAAGAAACTAAAGAAGATTTAAGATTAAGATTTTTCAATTCTTGGATTTTCCCAACTCGCTGAAGCAATAAACTTGAGCTAGCTAGTTCAGCTAATATTCCTTGGATATTGATATATGTCTTGCTAATTATATTTTTATTTACTTTTCTCACATTTCTGAGGTGCCAGTTACGATCTTTCCAAGTTTTTTTCTTACTCTTTCTTTTTTCTTTTCTTTTCTTTAAAATTTCTGGAAGCTTTTGAGCTCGGTTGATTCTCCAGGAATTCTTCCATTGGGTGACCAAAATAGGAGGTGCTTACAAAGATCCATTTTTCTTTTCAGTGCTGTTCCACTTTCTGTTTGTTATATAAATTCAGGGATCAATTTTCATATGCTGGATATTGCTACAGAGATCAGAAGTTGAAGAGAAGGGTGCCCACCCTATCTTCGGCTTCCCCAGATGGCAAACTCAAATTCAAGCACGACAGTGAGAATCAGAACCCAAACCTGGTTACTCCACCAAGTAATAATCCATTGAAATTGACGAAGGCATCAATCAAGTCAAGCGATGAGAAAAAGAGACTCATTGATGACACGTCGCAGCACAACAAGGTGCCTTCACTGAGATCCACACTCTCAGCAAAGAATTTGTTTGCAGGGAGGCCTATCTTGAGCCAAATCACAGAATTCTGCAATGAACTGAAGAAATTAGCAACAAGAGGTAGAGAGAGAGAGAACGATGAAAATGTGAATGAGATTAAAAGTGAAGAGGGCGAGGAGAATCAAAAAGCAAACGAAGGGCCTCCGCCTGTTCAGCCTTCGGAACAGTCAGTTAAGGAAGAGAAAGAAAGGAAGCCGTTGCTTGAAGTGACCGGAAAATCTGAGGCAAGAAACAATAAACCGAAGCTGCAGAGAAAGAAGTAAATCTTAATCTCCCTCTTTATGCTTACTCAATAACTATGAAACATTGACACTGATACTTACACAGATATGTTGACATTTGCACCACACTTAAATCTCAATTATTTGAACCGTTCCATATAGTAATCCACTTCCATAGATAAATTACTATTCAGGTTTGTCCTTATTTTTTAGCTTGGTACAGTGACTGCAAAATTGTGTGTTGTTTCATCTCGCTCTGTATGACTGTACCCGTATCCATATGATTGCTTGGTAATTAGTATCTATGAAACATTGACTCTGACACGGATATGTGGCATAACTCACAAGCATCACTTGTATTCTGAACTTTTCATATAGTGATCTGCTTCCAGAGAAGAACACTGGTCAGATTTGTCCAACCCTTGGTACAGTGACTGCAAAATTCTCCATTGTCTCATCTCCCTCTGCATCTACATCCATATGTTTACTTGGTATCTATTAACTGTTGACCCTTAACACAGATTAGTGTCATTAGCTGATTAGCATCACTTATTAATCTCAATTTTTTGAACTTTCCATTTAGTGATGGTCCTTTCATTGAAAAACGTTGTTCAGGTTTGTCCCTTCCTTTTTAGCTTGTCAAAATTCTCTTTAGTTTCCAGTAGTTACAGCTGTTTAAAACATATACAGTGCTCTGATCAAAGAATAATAGTTTTTTTCGTTAGCGCATTGGTGATGACAATTATCATAGATGAGTTCGCAGTCACAATCTTTTGATTGATGTACAACCATGTTTACATGATGAAAGAAGCTCAAATAGTCAGGCGTAAAACCATATATGAGCTTCTTTTTACAAGTTATTATATTCTGTAAATCATTTGTTTATTATTCTATTCTGCAGAAGAGCGGATGAGACCGAAAATATGCCTATTATGCTGGACTTGGAGAATGTGAGACGCAAGAAAGATGAGAACTTAATGCAAATTCGCACAAACCCTCCCTCTCCTCAGTGCTTCTCTGCTATTCGTGATACAAATAAAACTACCCCTCCAAAGGCTTCCAAATCCAGATTAATGGTACGTAGTTACCTGCTCTTCATTACTATTCAGATTGATAATACACAGTCTAGATATAAAATTTGATGATAAATCAGGAAGTTGCCATTGACACCGAAGATAGGTCATTGATTAAAATGGAATGTACGTTCCCAAAAGATAGATGTTGTTTAGCCAACTGCATGTTGAGTGGTTTGATTTATGTTGATTAAGATTAGCAAAAGCATATGTGCTGTATGTTTGGAGATTCCTCTTTAGGTTCTGTTATAGAAACATAACACCTAAACAGATTTTCTAAGTCAGAGTCACTTGTCATAATCTAAATGAAGAACTTGATAGCATAAACCTGAACTGTATGTGTCGGTGTTTTCCATGTAGATTTCATCCAACTGTCAAATTGGAACTGTACATGTCAATTAGCTATTATGCTCACCTCATGCTTTTCTCTGGTAACTTGTCTGCAAGACTTCTTAATGAGAGCATACTGGCCTTTCACAAGTTCTTCTTTCACATTGAGTACATGCCAGTACAAGTACAAGATGCTTTCTTTTTCCAGTTGGAGACTTGGACTCTCATTTGTACTGTTCTGTAGCTGATTATTATCACTGAAGTACTTAAAATGCCCCATCTGGAATAAATCTTGCAGGAGAGAGGAATTCTTCAAGAAGTTGAGCAAAAGAAAACGATGGAGTTTCCTGAGAACAGTAGCCAAGACATCTCAATAGTTGATGGGAAAGAAGCAAGAGCTTTGGACGTGTTCTGGTTTTTGAAGCCTTGCACATTATCCAGCTAGCTTCATTGACAAAATGCTATGATTGATTCTTTCATTCTTTATTTTATCTTTAGGAATACATAAAGTCCTGCAAAACTACACTAGTTTATTCTAGGTTCTTAGTCATTCTTTTATTATTGTCTCTTGTTCCTCCCATATTCTTCTACAAATGATAAGAGGAATCTGAAAACTTAAGGATTCATTAATACTTGTATTAAACAAAAGATTTGTGAATAAAATGTTGAATCCGTGCTGCTTTCCTGAGGAACAAATAAGATCAATTATGAACACTCTCTCTCTCCCCGTTTTTTCCTTCTCCTTTTTAATCCTCGTGACAATCATTCTTTAACCTCACAATACTAGACAATTTCTAGAAACTTTACTTGATTGAATATAAGGTTATGTGTCGGACCAATATATATATATATATTGGTAATATGTAGTGTTTATAATTTTTTAACCTTCATTTATTATTACTTCATGTAATAAAAGTGTTTTAAAGGAATTAACTACTTAAATGTGGAAATTTATTTCACCAAAGATAAAATCAGAGAGATATAAAATAATTGAGAAGATTAAGGTTTTAATTAGTAATTTTTAGAACCACATAGTAGTTGACATCACCCTATATGGCTATGGTAGTCTAAACACAATGTCTTAGGTTTTCAAGTCCGTGTAATTATAGAAAATGAGAATTACACTCAATTGGATTTAACAATACTTGAATTAGATCCAATTATATACCCATATCAAAAACACATTGCCCTCTATTATGAACCGGAGAGAGTTATTCTTGTACTTTCTGGGGTGAAGCTTTAAGTTTTTTTTATCCCAAATCACTTTAGACAAGCTTGCATGACTCGAGGTTAGAACTAGAGAGAAACAGTATAGAAGATTTCTCAGTATAGAAGATGATGATGGAAGTTGAACACCCTTGTCCAAGTCTCAAATTAAACACTAAAATACTTGGATAATATTAGTTACAAAATATTTTTTTTTGAATTTTTTTTTTCAACTCTATCTAAAATGAACCCTATAAAATAATTGAATAATCATTAAGCATCAGGGGCCTTACAAACTGAGGTATCGTGTGAAAAAATTCGCACTCAGTAATTCCCTTTTTATGCTAAAGCGTCTGCCACATGACTCTTCTCCCTGAGCACAGTGGAACAAAAAGATTAATTTGGTTATTAAAAAGGATGGGAATAGAATGAAATAAAAAATTTAAAATAAAAATAAATGTATAATAAAATTTTATATCATATACTTTAAATGTAAGAATCATCACTTCCTTTAAAAATTTTATAAATCATAATTTCTAATTTCATAAATTAAAATTACACTTTCCCTTTGTGAAAATTGTTCACTTATTCCCTTTATATTTTAATTATCTTATTTTTATTTTTATTTTTTTAATCTATTATATTCCATTCTTTTTTAATAATCAAATGAGACTTAATAGTACTTCCAAACTGTTGTTCAATATTTGGTTTTTTGAAAACCAACCAAATAAAGAACTTAATTCTTTCTAAACCCCTCCACTTTCATATCAATTTGTAAACAATATTATATTTGTTATAGGAAAAATATGTATGTGTGTGCATATGTACATCGTTCTAATAATAATTAATAAATATTTTAATAATATCTGATAAATATAAAATGTTTTTTAAATTTCAATAAAATAAATGTCATAATAGTCTCAAGACTCAAAATGGAACTATCTGCTGCCTTACTAGCCTACTCCGGTGTTCCTTCCCATTGGTGAGTGGCAGCAGACAAGCATTTTTGATCATAGTATTCGGTAGAAGCCAATGATCCTCAGAGAAGTGAACTGTTTGTCCATTTCTAATTAAGATTTTTTTTTTTTTTCCTTTTGTTTTGTTTTGTTTTGCTCCTTTTTTTTTTTTTCCCGGGGGTTTGGAAACAAAAGCTTGTCTACTAGTTAGGACAAGAAAGCCTGACATAACATTAACTGTCACTGCAACAGCCGAAAGGCCCAAAAGCAAAATCATGACATTGACTTTTTCACTTTAAAAGTGCTAATGATCTGTAAAGAGTAAAACGCAAATGCCTTACTAAATAAATTAAAAAAAATCAAATTTAAGGATCTAATAAAAGATTTATTCACAGATAAAACTAACATAAAATAAATTATTATTAAAATAAAAACATAATTTTTCTTTTATTGAACTTATTATTAATTTTTATCTGTAAATAATTTTTTTAAATTTCTATATATGATTCTCTCAATAAATTACCCTTTTTAAAAATAAATTATAAATATTAATTTTGACTGTAAAAAACAAAAATAATTCATAAATTTATAGTTACTTTTAAGGTTTAAATATTTTATTTATAATTAAAATTTTGAATTTATGAATATTTAAGTTGATATTATAATTTTTTTTAAAAAAATTTACAGTCATTAATTTTTTCTTGTGTAACTTGGCTATCATTTTCCCCGTGAAATACTCATTAATTATAAGTTTTGTTCACATCAATATGAATTGTTGCAATCAAAGTTAGACCGCACAAATTAACAATAATGAGTTAAGAGAGAAGTTTGTCATGCCAATTTAAAATGATATTTGTTATATTAAGGTCAAAGCATACGGCCAAGTTGATTGTAACAACTCTACGTCCTTAAAAAATTCACCTAACAAAATAATCCACTCCGCACTTCCAATTCAAGGGATGTACCCTTTGTCTCCTTACTTATTTTATTATGTACTAATATTCTTTTTCTATGATTAATCAAGCAGAAAATTATAGATGGTAGCAAGGAATATAGATTTTCTAGAATAATATTCCAATCACAATCTTATATATGCTAATGATAATCTTTTGTTTTGCAGGCTCTAAATCAAAATTATGAAGGCTATTTTGTAACATCCTGAATAATTTAACCCCAAATTAAGTGAATAAAAGAGGATAATAAGTAAATTATGTGGTGTATGGTTACAAAGAGCTAACGAGTATTTTGGATTGTGATTTAAACCCTTGGATTGGGTTCGGAGTAAGGTCGGGTCACTTAGATATCAAAAAGTGAGAAAAACAAGGAGAAAGAGTTTTGTGCCACATGCCAAGCGCACAGGCTAGTCTGAGCATGAAGATCCCTCTTTGTATACGTGCTATGGTGCACGGTACAATTTTACAGAAATAAGTCACGAAAACAAATAAAAAATAGAGAGAAAACAAAAGACACATGAAGGAGATGCGAGTTGCTTTACTAGGGCTTGAAAGATTAAAGCATTGGGAGTGTTTTGGAGCTTCTAAATACTAGAGGTAAGTTCCTTAAGCTTGAATATCTCTTTCTCTCCATTTTGCTTGAAGTTAGAAGTTAGGGTTTAGTTGAGAAAGATGATTTTTCATTTAAAAAGGTATGGGTCCAAACTCATTCACTTAAATAGAGTTAATGGAGTTTTTTAAGCTACTTAAGCATAACATTTATGGTGTTGTGAGTTTTGGCAGTTGTGGGGTAATAAATACCCAAAATTCCACCATTAATGATTATTTAGGAGTTTAGTGAAGTTAAAGGGAGTTAGAGGAAGCTAATAAACACTATGGGTACCTTTGAAATTGAGGAGAGTGAATTTTGAGAGTGTTGAACTGTGAAAATAAGTGTTGGAAATTATCCTAAAAGAGGATATTGATAATTGTGCCATGATTCATTGAAGATCAACTAATTATTGTCACCATTTGAGATTTGTGAAAGCTTTGGAGTGAGTAATTGAGAGGTATACTTTTAACCTTTCAAAAGTTTGAGTTAATCAGGAGAATTCTTTCTTGGACTTTTGTGTGTTAATCCACTTATTGATTTAAATATTATAATTGAGATATGTAACATTTTTGAAATGCAGGTATGGCATTAACTATTTAAAAATCAATAATTATGTGTATAAGGAGTTCAATGATTATGTGGTATGTGGAGTTTAATGATCATTATGTCAATAGGGTTTAATGATTGTGTATTATAAGGAGTTCAATAATTATGTAATGTGTGGAATTCAATGATTATGTGTTATATAAAGTTCAATGATCATGTGTGATGTGGAGTTCTATGATTAATTGTGAATTGATAAAGTGTAAAGTGAGTAGATATGTTAATGTATGGAATATTTGCATGCAATGAGAAATTACACTTTGATACGCTATATGATCATGAGAGGCGAGTGTTCATCTAGGAAGAGGAATAGTAAGTTGAAATCAACGTGGTAAGGTTACTATCAGAGCTCGATTGTTTGCCTGAATTTGTTTATATTTATCGCCTCACTTGTTCAACGAGGGACTCAAACTTAATTAGTTTTCTAATTGTTCAACAAGAAAACTAGCCTAGAGAGAATGACACCTTATAGTGTAAGGTTTGGGGGAAACTGTGACTCACAAGTGAGTTAGGAAACCTTAGCTAGATAGCCTCTTATACATGAATGGCTAAGGTAGTCTCATTCCATAGATAATCCTAGTGTGTTATAACTCACAGTTTCGTGTGAAAGGTATAAAGAGGATATAAGGGAGAAGTGATTATGCATATTATGATAAAAGGGTGCATGATTATCTATATTGTGTCCCTTAAGATGTAATCTTGTGATTAGTCTTGTATTATTATGAACATTGATTTTTATGATATTATCTCATGAATTTATGCCATTGATGATGAAAAAGGAAAATATATGCTGGAATATATTTATTTGACTTAAATATGATAACATTTTTCACTTACATTTAAATTGATTGATATACATTAGTATAAGTTAAATGAACTTTAGTTACTAAGTGGAAGTACTCACCTTTTTCTTTTCAATATTATAGGTGTTAGCTCATTGGGACGTGATCAAGGAAATTAGATTGAGGTTTTGGACTTTGACCCTAAAATTGTAAGCCTCTTTATTTTGAGTATTATATGTGTATATTTATTGATGTTATTGCCAACTAGGAGTTTATAAGTGCACTTGTGTTGTGTTCTTTTTATTAAACTGTATATTTTGGGCTCTAGGCTTAGTATATGTGTAAATTGTGAAATCTAGAAAGGGCTAAAATATTAGTACAAGTAAGAAGTGAGCAAAAATGTGAATATTGTGGAATGTCTATGATGTTTAAGACATTGAGGCTCCCTCTTTCACTTTTGTGATTTAGGGGTTGAACATTAAAAATATATTGCATATGTTTTATGTGAGGTATGGGGTATTGCATAGCTCTGTTTTGGTCTTTGGTACCCAAGTTGTATAGTAAGAGTGTTAAGGAGTAAGTTTTAGAAATGGGTGTCTAAATTTTA